GAGAGAGAGAGAGAGAGAGAGAGAGAGAGAGAGAGAAGCAAAGTGGCACTTGCGCTCGGCGTTTTACCAACGTAACGGCGCGTCATTCGTGCTTGGGTCGCGATTTTTCGCGCGCTCACAAAGCAGTCGCCGCTGCTCGCGAATTTCCTCTCCCCGGGAAAATTGGCGGGACTCTCTCACTCTCTCTTTCCTTTACGCGAGGTCGGTGATTAATCTTGCCAAGGGCAAACCCGAGTACCAGTGGAAGACGTAGCGCGCATTCGGAATGCGCACTCGTGCGTAATTCTTCGACGGCAGCGACGGGACGCCCGTGCGCTATAAACAAAAGCGAACGGGGAGAGAAAAAAATGGCCACGACGAATAAGGCACCGCGCGCGCGTTTTCCCATTGCACATTCACGATCGCGCGTCACCATTCGCATTCGCTATCCCTATCATTCTCTCTCTCTCTCTCTATCTCTATCTCTCTCTATCTCTCTCTCTCTCTCTCTCTCTCTCTCTCTTCCACCCCCCACCCCCGCTGTGATTCCGTGTGCTCGGTATAAGCGTGAGTTCGACGTAGAAACGCCAATTTCTTGATGCGGAAAGGAGTAGGAAGACGAATTGATAGAGATTTATTTGCACAAGCGGGGGTTGTACATATTGAGCACCGCGCGTCGCTACTCAAAGGAGCAATGGAATAGACAGTTTTTCGCGTGACATTGAGGCGCGTTTAGACAAAGACCAACCAGTCATTATTCCGTCATTATGGTCTTGTTTCCTCGTGATAATGCCAGATATTCACCAAAGTATCCCCCCCCCCTACTCGAACGGCCAAACACCAGATGCATTCCCGAGTCGCCCTCTCCCGTGCACACACGCGCACACACGCGCACACGCAAGCACACATGTATCTATCATCGTCACGGAAGTCGACTCGAAGTTTGACAATTGTGTCATTGTATCGAGATACGATCCGCGTACCGTATTAGCCTTTACGAGCTTGCAGAGTGGAAATTATCGTAGTGCGTCTCTCGTCTTTTTATCTGCGAATCTCTCTCTCTCTCTCTCTCTCTCTCTCTCTCTCTCTCTCAGTCTATCTCTATGTCTCATTCGAGTTTAATTTTTCGACGCATTTCTATTTGTTGCACAGACTTTTAGGTCCCATTTTTATTCGTCTGCGCGCTCGATTACTAAATTAATCTTCTGGATATTATGCTAAAAATTTGTCGCTATTGTCTATCCTCCTATCTACGTTGCAATTACCTCCGGAGCATTATTACTTTTGATGGCTGATGTAAAAGTTAGATTAATGAAAACGTGCGTACTCTATCTTATAATTACATGTAATTGATTAGTAATTGCTATTTTTAAAAACAATGGAAACTTTATCTAGGAATACGATCAGCCTATAAAATAAGTGACGTTAGGCCATCTTTCGAGCATACGGAGATACGTAGGAATAAATTCAGTCATCCTTCGATCAGATGGATATAAAAATAAATTATAGAGTATTGCTGGACAATAACGACGACTTGCGACTGTATTTGCGTGAAGTTTAGCCGCGAACACTCGCGTTGCATACGAATCTGCTGAATACAATAAGCTAGATGCTCGAGGCAGATATTATTTTATGGCAGAAAAATCACTGTGGCGCTCAAAAGCTTAGGTAATAATGAATGGCAAAAGCCAGTCGACATCCATAAATTCGTCAACGATAAATTTCAGGTTAGGCTGCATACGGAATATGCGCTTGTATTGATCTCAACCCTTTTAGGTTATGTATGAAGCGTAGCAATGCATAAGCGTGCATTAACTTGCGTATGTAATATCGTTCGGGCTTTTATTCGTAATGGGAGCTCGGCTGAAAAAGGCAAGAGAATTTACCAATTATTTATACACGGATAATTCCTTAGAATCTTGCAATACAGCAGATAGATTAATTTATAGAGATAGCGCTCGATTTGTCCGCGTCGCCTGTCAAATGCGTCGCAATTTCAACGACACTTTCGTCTAATACGATGCATACGTATCCTTCGTATGAGAGAATAAAGGGCAACGAACAACGGTCGATGATCGTCCTCGTATTTTCTTCGATATTGTTGCAAGATCGCGGACTCGTCGATGGTACGCCAAATTGCCGGCGACTTTTCGTAGTCGTCGCGGCTCCTTTGAGAATTCAATTGCTTGTGCACAAATTATTCCTTTATTCCAGATGCCAATTTCGTGTTTTTGTAAGTTTGTAGCAGCTATGACGATTCGTGCTCGACAACAACATATTCCAACATTGCGTATCGTATGAAAATGTCAATCCTTACCTAGCGGTGTTCTGGCAATAATGTTCTAGAAACAAGGTTATGTTATTCATGCTGTTAGTCAAAATCTGTGAGTGAAACTCAAAATCGAAGAGCACGCTCGTGAGAACGAATTATAAAATGAGAAATTATTTGATCAATGCTGTTTATCATTTGTAGGCTTTAAGAGAGAAAAGAAATTGAAATACGTCATTAATTTATCACCAATGACTGATTACTGTATGCAAATTGGAGGCCCAGTTCCTTTTTTTTTTGTGCTTGTGTATAACTAGTGTTTTGAAATAATAAGTCGTACCACTGGCCGTATTTTTTTCTCCCTTTTTTTCCTCTCTCTCTCTCTCTCTCTCTCTCTCTCTCTCTCTCTCTCTCTTTCTCTCACTCACTCAGTCACTCTTTTAAAATAAAAGCTATTGATGTAGGACGAAAACAAGTTAAGTTCAAGATCAGACGATCGGGACCAAGGAATGGCCGCATTTTTCATAAATTCGGCCTC